TTTGAACTCACGCATGTCCTTCCGATTTTCTCCCACGGCCGTCTATCTTGGTCTAAGGCGCGGAATTTACTTCAGGATCATCCACCGGTCACAGGCTTTTTTAATCAGAATTTCGCTCAGTATATCTCCACCCCCGGCCCCTGTCCACTCAAAGTTCCCGTTTTCATTGCATTCACGTTTGATCTCTTGTTCCCCGATTGAATCACCGGTCATCAAAGGAGCGTGGTGCTCTGGCTTTCCATACTGGAGCGCCTATGTACGCGTCCGCAGACTGCCGGGGACTGCCCGTTACGTTCCGATTCAACCCATCAAATTATATCTATCCACACTTGTCGCGCATTACGGCAAGTCGGATGCCCGCACTGCAACCATGTCTCAGTGTCGTGGACCACCATCGATAAAACCGTCGCTCTTGTGAAACACTCGTTCTGTGGCAACCTTTTCCCTCTCATGCCCCGGCTGAAAACAACCTCGACCTCTTGTTGTTGTAATCACCACACGGGAAATCATCACCAACTTGCGGGTAGCAGACACCGGGTGTGGGACCATCCCGCTCAAGTCGGATAGAGGAGCTGAGACATCTCACGTACCTCTCATTTAATATGATTCAATTAGCAGTACATCTCACCCAGTCTAGTCCGGAGCAAAAGCGTATTAATTATCTATGAACAATTCCCGTAAAGATGTAGGAAACAAAGTCCGAGAACGACGAACGAACAGAAGAGAAAAGAGGGTGGAGGATAAAGAGCGGTAATTATGTCCAAAGCATAAATATAACGACGGCAGAGAGCATGCCTATCGGGCCCTTTGCCGAAGCCGAAGACGCTGCACTGTTACTCCCCTTGCTTGGGTCCGCCGACGAAGTGGCGTCCGCCTTTGACGAAGTAGGGCTGGCCTTTCCTGAAGTGGCTTGCGCTGGCACTTTTTGACTGCCGCAGAGTCAGCAGAGATTGAGGAGAACGAATGACTCAAGGCTCACCTATTAGAAGCTCCGGCGGCGGGAGTGGAGCCAGCCGGGGTGGAAGACGGCGGCGCACTGGCCACCGCATTCTTGGCATCGAGGATGTTGCTCACCCCGTCGACAGCGCCGGTGCTACTCGCGGCGTTCTGGTACGATGCGTTGTTCCCGATCAGCTGGGCAAGAGAAACCAGTTTCCAGCTCGTCTGCTTCATCGCGGCGTACGCCGCCACGAAGGAGGCGACGGACTGGTCCGAGAGCTCGTGCTCGAGGATAATGAGGCCAGGGCTCTTCGGACCCCCGAGCCACTGGGTCATGGAAGCATTGATCGCCTGGGGAGTCGTCCCGGGGGGCGAGTCAGTCAGACTCCAGTCTTCCGTGCTAAAAGGAAGAGTCAATAAATATCCGGGTCGAAGATGAGAGAGGATAAATACTCTTGGTTCCCTACAGACGGTTATTAGAGAGCAGGCGCGAAGTGGTCAATCAATATCACATACAGATGATCGTCGTCAGGCCGAATACCTCCTTCGCAATCGCAGTGGTCCTGTGGTCGCTGTCTGTCAAGAAATTAGTCGGGGATCGGGACGCCGCGTGGGACTGAGATATATACCTCCGTACGGTGGCTAATGTGAGACGTGAGAAACAACATTGTGGGGAGTGAAGAGGTACACACCCGCCAGAATTTGGGGACGCGACCGCCCGTCGAGTTGTGGATGATCTCGATCGTCCAACCCAGCTGGGTTCGGGCGCGTTAACTCGCGATGCCCACGAATGAAGCCGGAAATCGTACCTCGGCCACAACCTGGAGATTACTCCGCGTCGTCATGTACGGATGAGTCCAGGTATGCACGGCGATATCGTCACCCTGGTTGAACGCAGTCTGGAACTGCTTCGGGTTGTAGATGATGTTACTGCCGATCATGAAGTGGGTCACGGGCTGGTTGTTTGTTTTCAAGAATGAAAGCAGGGTGTCCGAGGCCTTAGAGACTATTAGGGAAAAGCCAAAATGAGGAAATAAAACGCACATCGGTAGGCCCGTCATCAAAGCTGATGCCGAGGTACCCTTCAGGAGCATCCCAGACGTCCCCGTCAATTCTGCACCCATAAGTTGCGGAGCAGATTTGGGGGCCGGTGGGATCAACACCTGCAATTAATATGATAATTAAATCAGCATATAGCCTAGACTAGATCAGCAGCCGCGACGCACCCGTGGGGTAAACAGGATTATTATTTGGGACGTTGGTTGCAACAGGGATGTCCGGGATGGCCTTGCGTGCGATCGCGTCGTTCAAGGCCGCGGTCCACTCGGCCGGCATGGATTTTGGGTCGGGAGAATCGGGAGGCCCGGCCGGGTAAGCGCTTTGCCACTCTGAGAGGCGGATAAATAGTGGAGCTACTGGGGAAGAAATACAACGCACCGTCGGAGCCTACAGTAGGATAGGTTACGCCGTCTGTGGCTCCCCCGCGCTTGAATAATGAATGCACTTAGGGGGATGAATGAGCATGGTCGCAAAGATGTATACTAGGTAAAGGCAAGAGACCCACCAGGATGATCGGAGTGGTGATACCAAGTGGTCGGAAGACGTTTAGCGGCATTATGGGAGTGTTCGTGACTGCGCTGGGGGTGTACAGAGGCGGCTGAAAGGAGCGGAAGGAGGAGGAGGGTTAAAGGGAGCATAGCAGATTAAGGAGGGAGAAAACAAATAAACGGGCAGTAAACGCCGCACCATGTAGGCGTTTAAGTATTCATCTGTAAAGTTGATCATCCAGATTAGCAGCATCCACGCGTTCCATTTTTTCACGGCCCAAAGTGATTCCGGTTGCGCTGATCTTGACAGCCTGAGGATCTGCGATGGACCCAAAAATAGATTTGCACAACCCGACTACTCCACCGTCCGAGGAGTAGTTCCTTCGCCCGTTCAATGGATAGGGGATGCGTAGGGTTCCTAGCGGCCTACATCGATACCGGGTAAGTAAGCAGTGGCAGAGGTCAAGACGATCTGCACCTTTTTCGGAGATGCCGGTCAGTGGCACAATGTTTTAACCTTCGGCGCGAGCTTGGCGGCACGGCGAACATTCTCCGTCGTTTAAATTTAGAGGTGCGTTTCATGGACGTACTTATTACTTAAATGTCCTTATGTCCGAATTTCTGCTCGAAGAATGAGGCTTTATGTAAACTATTAGAAACCACTCACCTAGTGATTTTGTCTTGGAAACCGACATGTGAATCTGATGTAATTTTAGCACTCGAACGAGAAAGTCAAGGAGGTCCTTGTGGTAAAGTGTATGGTGGCGGGGGCGGTGCCAAAGGTAAGTCGAGACCGGTGCCAAAGACATGACGTGTGTATTGCATCCCGTCCACAAAAATGCGGATCCCTTGCTGGGATTTCCGCTGCGTATCCAGATGCTTCCATACGCCAGGAATACTGAGGGAGGAGGTGTCAGGGATCCGCAACCAGCCTAAGCGGCTCATCGCCGGCTCGACAAGCGAACCTGTCCTGTTCTACTGGATAGACTAGATAGACTTATGGGCGTTGCGACGGTCTGGAAAGTGTCGATGGAGTTAGCGAGCCATATCACCAAAGTGTAGTCCGTGAGATTTTGTCCGACATCAGGGAAGTTGTGCAGCCCTTTAATTCCGAGGAAGGACAAGGTCGATGAGTTACCGAAGCCGGAATGCATCAACATCAATATGGCGGGGCCTATACTCCCGGCGGAAATAATTACTTCTATATTTGCAGAATTACCTCTTTATTCGCGCTAACCGTTGGCCTGGACACGCTCCCTGCTTTGAGCGTGAAGGATATATATCCCTTTGAGATCCTGGGCGAGTTCAGCGGTGCGGTCTGTGTTGTTGGGATCGGGTGGAAGGATGAGTCAGGCAAGCGCGACGAAGAGAACGTGGAGGTTCGGGCGTCCAATGAGTTGCGGGGCGAGATAAGAAGTCGGCCAATCACTGCTCGAGGACCATCGGAGATAGCAATCGGGCTCACAGTTAATTGAGAGCCCTCGTTGATTGATTGTGTTCATATACGTCAGAGGAATTAAGGATGTTTGGCATTTAGACACGCCCATTAACTTGCCCAAAAGACCCAATAGGCTTCGAAAGACCGAGGAATTCGTTGCTTGGACAGCGCAGAAAAGGGACGGAGTGAAAAGTAAATGAAAAGCCGGCTGATAGCCAGTGTAAACCATGTCGTACATGCTTGAAGACGATCAGGGAGACGAGGGGGCTACATTTTCTCGTTGAGATGGTACGCCGCGGAGCTCCGCACGACAGCAGTGGTCCAGGCAGCAAACGTGCGCCGCGCGCTTGCAGAGACGGTGTAACCCGGCGCCATTCCAAGACAGCTCGAGGTAGGGCCAAGCATCCTGGGGCTCGGATGCATATCCAATCTGCGCAAGGTAGAGGTTAGCTCGCCATTCGACAAGGCGAGCAGACCGTTCAATGGGCGGCTTTCGGCGATGTGGTCAAGAGGAGTGAGCGTCATACCACCGTGACGTCACCCGGGCCGGTCACTTAGGCGCCGACAACGAGCTCTGCGCCACGCCTCGGGTCAGACTCGGCACCGATGGCGTTCCTCCCAGCGATGGTGTTTCCATTCCTTAGAATTTTGAATTGCCCTAGGACCAGGAGTTTCAGATTCGGGCCAAAGGTATTGCTGATTTTTTTTTGAGCCTGCACTTATTATTTCATCCTACTACTATCTGACCCAATTCACCATCAAGCTGATGACTCGGAGGTGGTGCACGGCGCACGCCCGCTCTTCCTAGAATTGCCAGCTTGTTTCCAGCGGGTTCCAGTAGGAGGCCTGGGTTCGACTCCCAGCGTCCGAATGGTTAGGCGCAGTCATGAGACATTTTTTTCCCGTTGAATCGAGTCACCCTTCGGTATCATCTTCCCGTGGATATCCCGGTTCACCAACACTCAGCTCTCGTTATAACTGGTTGTATCAACTCGACGCCAAAGGTAATACAGATTTTTCTGTCTGAACCTGATTGTTCCATCCTACCTAACCCGGTACACGTTCAAGCTAAGGACTCGGACGTGGTGCACGGTGCACGCCCGCTCTTCCTGATAACCAATCCCTCAGTAGATTGAAGTGGGAAGCCTGGGTTCGACCCCCAGCGTCCGAATTCATTCGGTGTTTTGAAGGAACATTCTTTCCCTTGAATAATTCTTGCGTATAGTAATTCCCGTCGCGCTAAGCACTCACTGTCTCCACTCGCCGGAGCTCAGCTCTCCTTATAACTGATTGAATCAACTCTTCTCATCCTTCGTTGTTTTTTTTCTTTTGGTTTTTTCGTCCAGCCCTCGGCTGTCTGCTAATACTGCTGCGTATACATATACAAATATCTGGTCGGTTGGAAACCCCCACCCTCGATATATTCAGTGTCCAGCAGCTCCTTCAGACCATGTACATACAGGAGGGAACCCAAGCACTGTAGTTACCGGACAAGTTACAGCGAAACCTGATTTTACTCAGACATTCTCGAAAGCGGGATCCAACGGTGGGAAGGGGTAAAATTATATCGCCTGGATAATGCAAGATTTCTCTAAGGGCGCATAAGGGCGCATAAGGGCGAGCAATTTGTGAACCAGCCGGAAAATCAAGCCCGCTCTCAAGTTCCAATGGACGGCAGGGGTGCATAAATAAGCTCGAGCTTAAGGGCGGGCTAGATCCCTCATAGAGGTCCAGAAATCTTGGCTAATAGGTTTGCCAGCCCACGGGCAATTGTCGTGTCGCGGTCGCGAAAGATCACGTCTCGTGATCACTCGTCACTGATCACGGTTCCAATTCAAAGGCCGACGGAGGCTGACATTTAAGCGCCGCCTGGCTCGTTCGGTTCTCGTTTCCTCTTTGCTTCCTACCACCACAATCCAAACCTAGTCACTCTTTTTTCACGATCTGTACGAACACGATGCCTTCCCTCCTCAAGGTCTTCTCTCTCCTCGCCTTGACCGCCCTCTCTGGCGTGCTCGCCGCCCCGCACCCTGCCCCCGACGTCGCCGGCGCCGGCGCGCACGTCCTCGACTGCGCCTCGACGGCGGGCTACGAAATGTGCCCCAGCCACAGGCTCCCTCGCTCGTTCCCCGAATCCCCGTCCCCGAGCAGTCTCACCAACGCGGAACGCCTCGCCCGCCGTCTACCGCTCAAGCCACCCAGCAGACGATGTGAGCACCTCGCCCAGTGTCAAAAGCCTCCTACTGACGTCCCACAGCTTCTGCTCGCCGCGCCACGTCGTCCCCGGCCGTCAATCCCGCCCTTCCACCCGGCACACCCGCAGACACGCCCGCAGACACGCCCGTAGACACGCCCGCAAACACAACCGCAGGTTCGCCCGTAGACACGCCTGCAGGCTCATCCACCAACACGCCTGCAGGCTCATCCACCAACACGCCTGCAGGCTCATCCACCAACACGCCCGAAGGCTCATCCACCAACACGCCCGCAGGCTTTCCACCCGGACTCGCAAGTCGCGGCCACATCCAGGTCCTCTCCGTCGACGCCAGCGGCACCCCTACCGACGTCCTCGGCTACGTCTCCCGGACCCCGTATGTAAACGCGCAGTACCGGATCACCTCGCCCCTCCTCAGCACCCTCTTGGATGACGCGCTGCTCGTCGGTCTCAGCGGAGAGCGCGAACTCGTTACCCTGGTGCGTCGCCCTTCCATCCGTTATGACGACGCCGCGCGTGCTCATCGACGTCCCTTTAGAACTCGGACACGCCCTCGCCCCCGTTCCTCGGCCTCGTTCAAGGCCGCGACTCCACGTCGTCCGACCTCGCCCGCGGAAGCTTCAACTACCTGTACCTCGCATCCACCGCGCACAGTGTGTTCTCTCCCTCTGACTCTACGTGCTCCTGCTCATTCATCATTTGCATTTAGCCGCGCCCGATGCGACGCCGCAGAACGTGGGTAGCATCTCCACCACTGGTGTCGCTCGCACATCGGAGAGCGCGGTGGTGAGTCGTTCAGTTCATTAGTGCCGTTCAGACCGTCTAACACTGGTACGAACAGTGGCGGATCGACCCCTCGACCAACGCGCTGACGGCGCAGTGGATCAACACTGACGGATGTACGTCCCTCTTCCTCCTCTTCCTCCCTTTCCCTCACTGCCCATCGCTCATCATCATCTCCATCGCAGCCCACGCCCCGATGTCCAGCTTCACCCAAGGCGGCGGACTCTACTTCGGCGGCGATCAAGGCGCGTTCTTCGCGCGGTACCCAGCGGCGGTGGACTCTGTCGTGCGTTTCCTCTTCCTCTACTGTTTCCCGTTTCATGTTGTGTTGATGAGGGGGTTAGGCGTTTTTGTACGTTCCTGCGTAAGGGGCGTTTCTGTAACGAGTTCGATGATGATTCCTTTTTTTACTCTTTTTTCTTTTCGAGCATCCTACCACACTGTACTTCCTGCACGCGAATGAATTGGTTTTTTTGTTCATGGTTCTGGTTCTGTTTCTAAGGAACTGCGCGATAAACTTGAAGTCTCTATTTTAAATTCTCCTTGGGCATGCGACTGCTAGTGAGGGGAAAAAAGGCATTGCACGATGTATAACCTGACCCCCGAGTCGAACGGGTCTCCCGTGGAGCATGGTATGTGATGCGTATGGGTTGCGGACGCGCCCAGCGCTATCAGGTCTTCTCCTATCCTCTTGCATCCCTAGATAAGTACCCAATTAATTTATGTTAGGGTGGGTAAAAAGGTGTGACGATCATGATGAATGACCTGACCCCGAGTCGAACGGGTCTTCCGCAGGGAATTGTCTGGAACTCAAGAGGTTGCGGACGCGCCCAGCGCTACCAGGTTTTATGTGCTACCCTCCTGTGTGCCTTGGGATGTACGATATTATGTTCGAGTTGGGGAAAAAAGGTGCCATGGTAATGAACAATGACCTGACCCCGAGTCGAACGGGTCTTCCGCGGGCAAATTTCTAGAACTCAAGAGGTTGCGGACGCGCCCAGCGCTACCAGGTCTTCTCCTACTCAGCTGCGCGCCTTGGGATGTGCCCATTTACTTCGGGTGTGGGCGAAAAAGGTTTGCCTCAAGGGATAATCACCTGACCCCGAGTCGAACGGCGGAGAAATTGACATCTGTCAATTGGTTGCGGACGCGCCCAGCGCTATTAGGTCGACCTATACCTTTCTTCGTGCCTTGCTAAGTAGTTGGATATTTTGGGTTGTGGGGAAAAAGTGCAAGGGTTAGATAATAATGACTTGACCCTGAGTCGAATGGGTCTCCCGTAGATAACACGAGTTTCATGTGATGACTCCTACCTTCTGCGTCCCTTCCAATTTATTTTTGCCGAGGGATGTTTTGAATTCCCGCCCATGACGCGCCTGCGGGTGCTACCAAGTTGTTGTCCCTTATCCTCTCCTTGAAAATTTGCCTCGTATGTAGGATCTCTGGGCGGAAAGGGCAGCGACAATCACACGCCGCGGAAGTCATTTCAGATTTTCACTGCACGCCCAGACAACTCGAGGGCGTATGGAGAAATTCAAGGGTCACGAAGGCGAAAAAAATCTAGCGGGTAGGTTCACGAAGCGTTCGTTGAATGAATGAAACTAATTAAACTCCCACCGCGGCGTCCATCCCCGAGTAAGCGTTCAGCGCCAGCTGCCCGCCAAGATGGGCGTACAGAACGTTCCCTCCAGAAATCTCCCCCCGCTTGATCATATCAATCATGCCCGCTAGACTCTTGCCCTCGTACACCGGATCGGTAATGAACGCGTCCATCGACGCGCCGTACTTGATCGCCTCGACCGTCTGTTTGTCGGGGATGCCGTAGCACCCGGCGTGGTAGCGCTCGTCCAGAATCACGTCGGCGTCCGTGATGTCGTCCTCGCTCAGCCCGATCTTCGCCGCAGTGAATTTCGCGATGCGGAGGACCTGCGCGCGCGTCTCGGCGGGCTTGGCAGAGGCGTCGATGCCGATGACCTTGCGGACACGGGCGCCAGACTTCTCGAGGAGCTTGAAGCCCGCGATCATGCCCGCGTGCGTGGAGCCCGTCACGGCGCAGACGATGACCGTGTCGAAGAAGATGTCGAGCTGGGTCTCCTGCGCCGCGACCTCCAGCGCCCACCGCGCGAAGCCGAGACCGCCTAGCGGGTGGTCGCTCGCGCCGGCGGGGATGTAATAGGGCTTCCCGCCGGCGGCGACGACCTCGGCGGTGAGCGACGCAGCGGTGGGCTTGTGCTCGATGCCAAACGTCGACGGGTCGAGGCGCGGTTCGGCGCCCATGAGGCGAGAAAGCTGCAAATTCCCGACCTTGTCGTAGACCACATCCGTCCAGTCGACCCAGTGCTCCTGCACTAGCTTGGCCTGTGGAAGAGGTAAACCTACGTGTATCTGCCATAAAACGAGACTGGCGCACCTTGAGCCCGTACTTCGCGGCGACGGCAGCGACCTGGCGCGTGTGGTTGCTCTGAATGCCGCCGATGGACACCAGGGTGTCGCACGACTGCGCCAGTGCGTCCGCGAGGAGGTACTCGAGCTTGCGCGTCTTGTTTCCACCAAAGGCAAGAGCCGAGTTGCAGTCCTCGCGCTTGGCCCAGATCTTGACGTTCCCACCCAGATCGGTGGTCATTCGGTCAAGGGGGTGTATCGGAGAGGGCCCAAAGAGTAGATTCTCGCGCGGGATGTCAGAAAACGGAGAGGAGAGAGTTACAGACATCGTGCAGGAAACTTGGGGATCGATGGATTGCGATTAACTTTGCGGGTGGTTATGTAGACGATGGAATGTGATGTCTGGCGATTGGATGCTGCTTTTCCCGGGACATGGCCGTCGTGGAAGAGCACAATCCGCGTCGGCGACAATTTCCCGTCGGGGAAGGAAAGTAATCGAGTCACGGGACCCGACGCGACATCCAAGGATGACCAAATAGGACCACATAAATAGAGCCGAAAGTGTCGTTTGGCGACGAATTCTCCCTCGAAGAAGTTCCAAAAAAAATATTAATACTGACCGCTCCTCAGATTGAGACTTCCGCTCGAGCCCATGCATTTCCGATTTCGGCGGGTGATTTGTTGATCGCGTTCCATCCATCACGTGGAAGACCCCTAGCCCACTCTCCCGCAGCCGTCATGATCCCCGATCTCTGTGTGGGAATTATTGCAAGAGATGACCTCTCTAGTTC